AATGTATTTAAGGTAATCATTCCCTTCTGCCTCTGAAAAGCATTATTGTTGGCAGAGAAAACATGCACATGCCTTCTTGCATGATTCGTTGAGTTGTAATATACATGGAAAAGTGTATTAAAGATATTTGTTTCCAAGACTACAAAGTTGCAGAACTTAAGGATTTAAAAAAGCAGGATGGTTCCTCTGACTCCTCTGAGTAGGAGTGATTCCCTTTTTTTGCAACATTTTTTTTGCAGCCAAGAAGAAATGTGGATATGTACCAGATCACCAAAGATTCTACACAAGAAAAGGCACTATATCTCGATTTGGAAAAGGCACGCTACTGCAGGTCACAGAAAGCAACAGAACTCCACTGAAGTCACTGTCAACCAAGCCATACAAGAGCTTGGAGAGAAGAATTTCAAACCAAGATGAGTAAGAAAAGGTAAGTCACCAAGCCAAATTCTCAGGCAAAATGCACAAACTCACAATATGAGAGCAAGTCTTCTTACCCCATATACCTTCTTGGCTCCTGCCTTTGCAGCAAACATAGAGAGGATTCCCGTGCCACTTCCAACATCAAGGACAATCTTATCTTTAAAAACATGTTTATTGTGATACATTGAGTTTCTATAGGTTAATGTGCGCACTTCATCCTTTAACATTTCCTGTGATGAAAAGAAAAGCATTGTGTTATTATTTGAAGTGCTTATATGCATTCAACACTGCTGCTGAATGTATTCCCTTATTATAATTTAAGCATTATTAACACACAGCCTGAAGAGTTTTTCAAGTACTTTGGGGTGCACACATCAAAGCAACTGTAAAATGCTAGCTACTTAGAATTGAATTGTTAAGAAGAAGCATGATGTCCTTTGTAGAATTTTATTTCTCTAAATATTACTTCGCTGTTACAATTGACAACCAGATCACAGGACTGCTTTGGGCATAGACAGAAGCCATACAGAAATCCAAGCTTTCCTTTTCTCCTAAATCATGCACAACCTAGAGCCTCAGTGGAGGGACTTTCTGAGGTTTCTCTTTGAACACAAAATAAATAGTTCCATAAACTATTATAAGACAGCAGTCTTGATAGCCTTGCCCAAAGTGATGCAGGAAGTCCATAGCAGAGCGTAAAGATACAGTGTTGTATGGTACTCTCCTACTGCTTTTCTGTTCACTTATTTATATGACCAATTTCCAGAAGATATTAATGTATAAGCTAGACCACTATCTCATTATTTTAAGTTGTCGTTGTTAGGTTCTGATTTTTGCTTCATTGATAAAAGCAATACATGCATTTCATTCCATTGACACCTTGCTCTCAGGTGTGCATGTATCAGTCAAACTATATCAATAAAGAGCACTGAGGTCAAGATCCAAGTGCCATTTTTAAGAGAAATGTAGGCCATTCAATACACCTTCAATTTTCTCAAAATGCTTCTGTTAGGTCTAGAAGGCTGAACTTCTGCTTATACTACTGCCATCATTTCATAGTTTAAGCAAGTAGGCAAATGATTTTTTGAATTTCAGTATAAAAAGAATCAGTTCACTGCCCAGCAGTCTGAAGCACTAGTGCACTGGATTGTTACATATATCAGTAGCTCACTTACCTGTCTTGTCAGGAGACTATATGTCAATAACTGTACATGAATAAAGGGTTATTTTTATCATTATAAAGCACGGTTCGGTATCAGTCGAAGAAAGAGGCACAGGAACAGTCCAACAACACTGGAAAGGTCATGGAGCACACCCTCAGGGAAACTTTCCAAACATATTAAGGACAAGAAGGTGATTGGGAGTGTTCAGCATGGACTGGGAGATGACTGACCACCTGATAGCTTTCTGTGGTGAAATAACAGGCACTGTGGATGAGGGAAGAGGAGTGGATGCTTGTTTATCTTGATTTTAGCAAGACTTTCAACACTGTTTCCCGTAACATCCTCATTGAAAAACTGAGGAAATACGGACTACATAAATGGACAGTGGACTGAAAACTGACTGAACTGCTGCTCTCAAAATGTTGTGATCAGCAGCACAAAGCCCATCTAGAGGCCAGTCACTAGTGGTGTCCCCCAGGAGTCAATACTGGTGCCAATACTGTTGGATACCTTCAATAATAACCTGGATGATGGGACAGACTGCAACCTCAGCAAGTTTGCAGTTGACAGAAAACTGGCAGGAGTGGCTGATTCACCAGATGGTTGTGCTGAAAATCAGAGGGACCTCAACAAGCTGAAGAAAGAACTGACAGGAATCTCAAGAAAGACAACAAAGGGAAATGCAAAGTCCTGCACATGGGGAGGAATAACCTCATGCACTAGTATAGGCTGAGGACTGGCTGTCAGAAAGCAGTGTTTGCCAGAAATGACCTTGGGAACCTGGAAGACAGCAGTTTGAACATAAGCCAGCAATGTGCCCCTGCAGCATTTTGGGCTGCACTAAAAAAAGCATCACCAGCAGGTCAAGGAAGGTGGTTCAACACCGGTGAGACCACATCTGGGGTTCTGTGTCCAGTTCTGGATTGCCCAGTGTCCTGGTTTTGGCTGGGATAGAGTTAATTTTCTTCCTAGTAGCAGGCATAGTGCTGTGTTTTGGATTTAGTAGGAGAAGAATGTTGATAACACACTGAGGTTGTAGTTGTTGCTAAGTACTGCTTATGCTAATCAAGGACTTTTCAGCTTCCCATGCTCTGCCAGGTGCACAAGAAACTGGGAGGGGGCGCAGCCAGAATAGTTCATCCAAACTGACCAAAGGGCTATTCCATACCACGTAACGTCATGCTCAGTATATAAACTGGGGGAGGGGTTGGCTGGGGAGCAGCGAATGCTGCTCAGGAACTGTCTGGGTATTGGTCAGTGGGTGGTAAGCAATTGCATTGTGCA